TCCTTTACCGTTTAGGTCACCACAGATCACTGAACAGAGTTCTCTGTTCTATACAGTAGGTTGTCACTAGTGATCTATTTTATACATAGTAGTGTATATATGTCAGTGCCAATCTCCCAGTTCACCACTCCCCCATCCCCACCTTCTCCCCCTGGTAACCGTAAATTTGTTCTCTACCTCTGTGACTCTATTTCTGCTCTGCTAATGAGTTCATCTGTACCAGTTTTCTAGGTTCCACATATAAGCGATATTATGCAGTTATTTGTTTTTCTCGTTGTAGGGATTAAATGAGATCCTCCGTGCATCTTGCTTAAGAAAATGCAGGGCTGAAGGTAAGCATCAGTAAATGTTGTTTAATTACTGTCTCATGAGAAGCAAGAGTGAATTCTGAGTCCTAGTCTTCTCTTTTCCACTGAATAGTTTTGTAATCTTGGGCAAGGCTCATGTCTCTGAATCAAAAAGGAAGGAAGGGGGTTACTGTGTCGGCTGGGCCAGTTGGTTCTGACTGTCGAGGAAAAATGGGACTGTACTACACAGTGGGGGCAGGCTTCCCAGGTGGCTCAGTGGATAAAAAATCTGCCTGCAATGCAGGAAATGCGGGTTTGATGCCTGGGTCAGGAAGATCCCCGGGAGGAGGGCATAGCAACCCACTCCAGTATTCTTGTCTGGAGAATCCCGTGGACAGAGGAGCCTTGTGGGCTACAGTCCATAGTGTCTCAAGGAATCAGGCACAGGCTGAAGTGACTGACCACACACATACTCACTGGGGGCAAGAAGGCTAAGTCTGGAATACAGCATCCTATACTCCCTTGTCCTGTGTTCAAGTCACTGGGAAACTGCACCAAGCCAATTCAGACAAGACTGCTTGGAGGCTTGGTATTCTCAGTTTAGACAATAAAAAGGCAGGGTCGGGGGAATTAACTACCTACATTACCTTTCAGATTTATAATTCTCAAGTTCTAAATCCCCATTCTAACTTGCTGTGTTTTGTATACTGAGGTATCCGGGCAAATAGCCAGTCTTATTTTCAGATCACAGTGGTAGATGTGAGTAGCTCAGTAATAAGACTGTGGCTGAAATTCAAATAGGAAACACACCCACTTGGTATGAAAATGTCAAATGACAGAGTTAAACATGATGTTTTTCCTACAGTGTCATTCTGACTGGAGAATTACAAAGTTGGATTTCAATGACTGGCCTTTTTCACTGGCTGTAAATACAAGGTTATAGTGTAAGAATGGCTTGTTTAAGTTTCTCCTTACACCTAAGCAGAAGGGGTGGCAATTCCTTCTTGTTATAACAGTGCTTAGTCCTGGTATAAATAGTTCTCCCTGAGTGTGACCCTGTTCGGATAAAGGATGTGAGCTGCTGATTTTCATGCTAGTAACTGCTGGGATGAATGAATGTTCTGTGAGGTTTATATAGGAGTCCAATTCCATGAAAGTCTATTGTGTAAAACCCACAAATGGCATACAGTGCTTTCAAAACCTGGACCTCACAAAATTACTAATTAATGTGTTCCTACCAGCTGCTAGTATTAATGCTGATAAAGGGCCTATTTAAACAGAACATTAGTGATTTGAAAGGGTTGTTTTAATTTTTAAATTTGTTCAGGGGGAGAAGATAGAATATAGTTCTTTCCTCTTTTAGAAAGGTGGAATGCCATTAATTAAAACTGATTTCTTAAGCAGTTGTAAGATTCTCTTTCAGGTACCAGAAAAGATCTATTTCTCTCAACCAGTAGAACTAATTGATTTCAGAAACACAGTATTACTCCTTTTTCTGAAAAATTTTGTGACTATAAAAAGTGATAATTAACTATCATTATAAAAAATTTAAGAAGGAGGAAGAAGACTATAGTCTGTCACTTTAACATGCCTACTATTATATCAGTTTAAAAATTATTTTCATGTAAGAGATGTAGCATTCAGAGCATATTTTTTGTTCCTCCCTTTTTCCCTAGAAAAAATTTTTCCACCCATGAACATTCATTGGTTTGCTTGATTCAAGAATGGGATATTGATTAAGTCCTGTTTTAAGTGAATGCCATAGATTTTTAAAAAATTACTAATTCTAATACCTAGGTTATAAAACAAGCAAATAGATTCAACTGGTAACATGCAGAGTTCCTCTCCACCCACCCCTCTTTCGAATTTGGGAGGCCGCACTATAGTAGGCTTTATTAGGTGGGACTCTAGTCCCACACAGTGTATAATTAACAACCAAGTCAAACTGGCATTTCAGAGGTGAGAAGGACCAGCTCAGTCTTTGCGAACCCTCTGGCCAGGCTGAACCATCCACTGGGACCAGGAACTTCCTTCCAAGACCAAGCGCCTGTGGCTATAGCTGCTGGGGTCTCCCGTCTCTGAATAAACAAGCCCTGATCCAACTGGGCTGGTAGAGATGTGTGAGAATCCTGCCTGGTGTACCTGAGGGTCTCATTCCTCGTCTCTCTCCGTGGGACCGTGACCTCTAAATTCTACTGTCCCTCAGTAATGGTTAGGAAGACTTTTCTCAGTCCCTGCCGACCTCACTGAGGCCATCTTGCTCTCTGATATGGGGCTAGGCACAGTGCGTCAACTTTTAAAACAAAACCTTAAAAAATTTACATTATGAAATATTTCAGACATAAGCAAAAGTGTAGAGAGCAGAGGCTTCCCCCGTGGCTCTGTGGTAAAGAATCCGCCTGCCAATGATCCCTGATCTGGGAAGATCCCACATGTCGGTGGAGCAACGAAGCCCCATGTGCCACAACTGTTGAGCCTGTGCCCTAGAGCCCAGGAGCCAGAACAAGAAAAGCCACTACAATGGGGAGCCCATGCACCACAATTAGAGAGTAGCCCCCACTCACCACAGCTAAGAAAGGCCCATGCAGCAGTGAAGACCCAGCACAGCCAAAAATAAATAAGTAAATAAAATTATCTTCTTAAAAAAGTTTAGAAAGCAAAATGATAACTGCTCCTATTTAACAGATTTTTACCAATTTTGCTATAGATCTTTCTTTCTGGAAATAAATAAAAGGTACCAATCAATAGCTAAGACTCTTCTATTTCCTTGCTTCCTTCTTTCTCCATAGTGGTAACTACTATCCTGGAGATGATAGTCATCATTCCCACAGATGTTTTAAACATTTTTTTAAATCACATAAGCTGTATCCTTATAGACTGTTTTGTATGTGTTCAAAATGTTTAAAAATAGTATCAACTAGCGTTTCCACTCAGAGTTTTAATTTTGAGGTTGATCTGCCTCTAGGTCTAGATAATCTATTATAACTCAGGTGTAATCTCTTACTGAATTGTTGCTGTTCAATTGCTAAGTTGTGTCCAACTTTGTGACCCCATGTACTACAGCACACCAGGCTTTCCTGTCCTTCACCTCAAACTTGTGTCCATTGAGTCCGTGATCTATCCAACCATCTCATCCTCTGTCATTCCCTTCTCCTTTTGCTTTCAGTCTTTCCCAGCATCAGGGTCTTTTCCAATGAGTCTGCTCTTTGCATCAGGTGGCCAAAGTATTGGAGGTTCAGCTTCAGCATCAAGTCCTTCCAGTGAGAATTCAGGGTTGATTTCCTTTAGGATTGCCTGGTTTGATCTCCTTGCAGTTCGAGGGACTCTCAGGAGTCTTCTCCAGCACCACAGTTTGAAAGTATCAATTCTTTGGCACTCAGCCTTCTTTCTAGTACAACTCTCACATCCATACATGACTACTGGAAAAACCATAGCTTTCACTATATGGACCTTTGTTGGCAAAGTATGTTTCCTTACACATGTGTGCTTGGAGTTACTGGGGTGTAAAGTAACTTTAACTTTACAAGATATTGCCAAATTTCTTTCTGAAATTTGTTCTTCCATCAGACATATGTAAGACTTTTTGTTTCTGCACATCATCACCAACACCTAGTGTTATGAGACTTCTAAATTGTTGTCTAAATGATAGGTTTAGAAAGACTTCAGTGGGTTTAATTTGTTCAGTATTTCTCTGATTATTCAGTTTGTTAAGTAGGTCTTTTTTTTCTTTACCTTTTCTGTGAATTGCTTGTTTCTAATCTTTGCCCATTTTGTATTGTTGTTTCTTTTTTTTATACATCTGTAGGAATTTTAAAATACATGTGATTTATACTAATCCTTAGTTAGATGCAGTGAATGTATCTTTTCTAGATCTGTGACTTTTCTTTCTTTCTTTTCTTTTTTAAAGTTCATTTTATCATGGTGTCATGGAGACTTACAGCTATTAAACTTATTTGGCCAACAGAATCTTCAAAATAAAGAGGGATGGTTTTCAGAACCTAAAATGGAAAATGCTAAAATATCATGGCAAATGTAGACCTCCTGTGCTGTTTCTCTCCACTTCTGATAGCTAATGTAAAATTTGCTTCAAAAGACAATTTAATTGGGGCAATGCTCAGGTTCTTGGGATAATCTCCAGTTCTTTGTGTTTACCCGTTCTGACTCATGGGAGAATATTTCTTTAAATGTTTTTAAATTTTTTGGTTGTGAGCAAACTTCAATGGAGTTTATTTTGTCTGGGATATCCCATCTGGCCTGGGTGGTCCGAGTATCCTTGCAGAGTTTTTTGCATTTTTCTTCTGCAAGGTTGTTGTTTAGTTGCTCAGTTGTGTCTGGCTCTTTGTGACCCCATGGACTGTAGCCCACCAGAGTCCTCTGTCCATGGGATTCTCCAGACAAGAATACTGGAGTGGGTTGACATTTTCTCCTCCAGGGGATCTTCCTGACCCAAGGGTCAAATCCGTGTCTCCTTTGTCTCCAGCATTGGCAGGCAGATTCTTTACCACTGGGCCACCTGGGAAGCCTTTGTGAAAGGTGCCTTATGGGTATTTGTGGCCCAGTTTTTATGTTAAACTCTTAGCCTTGGAATTCTCATACTGAGTGAGTAGTGTGAATCTAGATTCCACCCTTTTGTGGAAAGGCTAAGGTTTTGGTCTCTCATGCAAGCCTTTTTTGTTTTGTATTCAGAACTCTGGGCAGAGACCAGCTCCCTTGATGATCACTGATGCGGTGAGTAGGATTTTTCTTGTGTTTCCTTTCACTGACAGTGAGGTCCTTTGAAAGTCTTAGATCTGTGTAGGGGTCTCAGTTCCAGCTCCCCTCTTCCAGTGGGCCTCAATCTACAGTCCCTCCTATTTGGGCCTTCAAGTCCTTAAGCATTAGTGTCCTGTCCTGGGTACTAACCCTTCTTCCCCTCATTCTCCCATTTTCCCCTTCTGATTCACCTCTTCATTCTCTGAGCCTTAACTGATGCTAATATTATTTTTGATAATACATCTTGTGGTTTCAAGTCCCTTCACAGTCTAGGTCTCACAGCTATCAGCTCCCTGAGGACATGGCCCATGTTTTAGTCTTTTTTCAGGGTTAATATACGATCGAGCAGACTTCTTGCAACAAGTATTTGTTTACTGATTCACAAACTTTCCAGTGTGGGAAATTGCTGTGTCTGTATCTTCACACAAAACCTATGAGCTGCCTTCCACTTAAACCTGTGAAAGAGGGTGCTCCAAGCCTCAGATCCTATTGGGGTATTGTGGAGAGAGCATTGGACTAAGAGTCAGAAGTCCAGGGTTTTAGATTAACCTGTTACAGAAAAAGTGTATGTTTTTAAACAAACCCGTCTACCTTTCTGAACCTGTTTCTTTGTCTTCAAAACAAAGACAATATATTGGCTCTGCTTACCCTGAAGAGTTGTGAAGAGGATTAAATAAGAAATGCCACGTGAAAAGGGGGTATAAACTTTAAAAGGCCATCCACAGTGTGTTGTTGGTAGTTTTGTTGTTTGTGGGTCAGGACATGGTAAACCACAAAGGCAGTAATAAGATTTCCTGATTCCTCCTGGGAGATGTTGTTTATGCTACTAGCATTGTCTGATTGCCGGCCTTGCTACAAGAAATATTGCTTTTGCTTGTCAAGCTCTCTTTAATGGTTAACATACTGACCGAAGAAGCCCTATTGATATTCTAGATGGCTTAGACAAAGGTTCATTTTTGGTTGTTCAACTTGAAGAATTGCACCATATATCATCCTCTTTTCTAGCAACATCCGTTTTTTTTTTTTAAGTCAATACAATTTTTACTGCTATGCTGTCTTTCTAAGCAGAAATGAGGCTCCCTCACATCTCACCTCCACGTCCCTTTCTCCCTCCCTCACCCGTGTGCATCCAGCCCCTCTATGTAGATTTGTACCCAGAGGGCTCCTGCCATCACATCAGTTCAGCAAACACTGGTTCCTAACACTTATGTGTAAAGCAAACCTTTGTAAACAGGATATCTTGTCTTCAATTTAAATAACGCATGTTCTCACTCTGGTTTTGATCTGCATTCAGTCACGTTGGTTTAGTGTCTATCTCTCCATCAAGTTCAGTCTCTGCAGACTATAAACATACACTATTTAGGACTCCTGGTGATTCCTTTTATTAAATGAAGACTCCTTGCTGGTAAATAACCCCAGCCTTTCCTGCCATTAACACGTTCTTGTAATGGGTTTTCACATAAGAGGTCTGTGTGGGCTGTAATACAGATTTTTTTTTTACCCTGTTTCATTTTTGAGTCACAATCCCCTTTAAACACATGTATTTAGAAAGCTGAGCACAGCTCCTGTTTCCAATGTTGTCAGAGTGCCGTGGAATGGAATGCTGGAGGAATAAACAGTGCTGAGTGTTACCTAGGCCCTGACCGGTGGGGTAATCACAGTCATATAAATTACAGGTTCTCTTTGGAGAACAGAATGATTTTCTGAGTCATTTCCAGAGCCTCTGAAGTGGCACTTCCTGTTGTTAGAGATCTGTGGTGCTGAGGTGAGATTTTAGCTGTTGGCTCCTGTGGCAGAGACATGCAGGGACTAGAAAGCTCACTCCCAGGTGCTGGGTTGGAAGAAATGATTGGATCCCAAACTTGGCATTTCATAGACAAGAAAGTGTGGCCTAAAGGATGTGCCCAGGGTCACACTGCTGGTCCCTGGACCCAGAAATTCTGCCTCCAGTTCATTGGCTTTGGTTTTATTTTACCAAGTTTAAGTTTCAGCAGTTTATCTTTTTGCAGAAGTAATCATCTCTAGTCTCTGAAGTCAGACAGATCTGTGTTAGAGTTATGGTCTTTCTGAGCCTGATTTCTTTATCTAAAGTATTAGTCTGCTCAGTCGTGTCTGACTCTCTGGGGACCCATGGACTATATCCCGCCAAGCTTCTCTGTCCATGGGATTCTCCAGGCAAGAATACTGGAGTTGGTTGCCATTCCCTTCTCCAGGGCATCTCCTCGACCCAGGGATCAAACCCAGGTCTCCTGCATTGCAGGCAGATTCTTTACCACCTAAGCCACCAGGGAAGAGCTTTTGTTTTTCTAAAAAAATGGGCATTAAAAATGCCCACCTTATTAGGATTGTTGTGCTAATTCATTAATGTATATGAAGTGCGTGGTATGTACTAGATTAAAATACAGATATTATTGTTATTGCTCTATGAGATGGGGCTGGATCAACTGCTCCCTCTAATTTTAATAATAATTTACATTTTCTATAATACTTTTTTGGCAACTAAGTCTTTCCTCATCTCTCCAGCTTTGGGCTCCATGTACATCCACATAGGCCTCTCTTGGGTATTAAGTGTTTTATTTTTAAAGTATTTCTAGCTGCCCAGTAACCTGGTTCTCATGGCAGAATCCTGGATTGTTAGGAGGAAATCTCTAGCCTCCTTAGGCTGTGAGCACTGGAAGAAATAGATTCTCACTTCCTATGCTGGTCTGTTTCTCTTTCTTTAGAGGTGATGAAGTTGTGCTTAGAATATTAACCAGACTGGTGTAGGAAGTAAGATGCTGAGTAGGGGGGGTTGAAAGTCTTGGGCTGGGGTTGGGGGTGGGGTGGGGCAGTAAAATAGGGGAGACCCTAGCTGAGCTCAGCTTCCACCGAGATGAGCGAGACAAGTATTTGATAGTTCTCAACTGGAATAGTAGCTCAGGGGGCTAAAAGGCAAGTGACTAATTCAGGGTTCGGTCGTTTCCTCTGGAGTGAGGCCTCCATGGCCCAGCTCTCTGGCTAGATTTGAGTGGGCCATGGTTAAACAGATGCAGTTGCATTCAAGAGGCTGGGCTGTCTGTGTACATGTGCACATGCATATTAATTATTGTCCAGTTAAACTAAAGCAAGACAGTATAAATAGCCTCCTTCTTTATTAGTTTTCCTAGGGAAAAGTGGGTAATAGCAATCATCTTGCTTGACCTGTAGGCAGTGAGGGAGAGTTGCCTAGAACATCTGGAAGCCTGCAGCTTTGTGGAGAAAGCAGTGATTAAAAAACAAAAGTCAGAAGGGAGGTTGAGTTCAACTTCCTCTTCCTGCTGGTAGAGGACTGTGGGTCATCAGCAGAATGATGTGGAAAAGAGCTGGCCGACTAGTCCCTTGTCCTGTCAATAAACAGATGATCTCAGTGTCTTGTCTTATGGAAACAGTCCCCTCCCTGCTACCACCAGAAAACAGTGTGGGGGGGGGGGGGTGGGCAGGGGGTGGTGGTGGAAAGGAATGGGGGAAAAATACTTTATCTGAAAAATAATGGAAAAATACAAGAAATGGAGTGGTGGGGAATAATGGGAGGAAATCAAACCCTTAGGAGCTTTGGCATTTTGCACACTGTCCACCCTGGAATTGAACTGAATTGAATGTGGTCCATGAAATACATCTTTAAATTAATAACACACTGCTGATTTTATAAATTCTCAAGCTGGAAAGAACCATGGCAATCATCCACAGTAGCCTTTCTGTTGGAAGGTTGAGGCATCTCAGGCCCAGAAAAGCAAAGAAATCTGTGCGAGGTGAGGCACACGCTGCTAGGGAGACTGGCCTGAAACCACCATCCCTGCTTCGCTTCCCGTGGTATCTTCTTGGCACCACCTTGGATCCAGGCAGGCAAAGCTCATCTGGTTTACCTCTCTCTGCACTCGAGCCCATCCCCACCAACCCTTTCACCATGAGTGGAGAGGGGTTCCAGTCAGCTGACAGAAAGTGGGGGGGAGGGCGTGGGTCAGGTGTGAAGTCAAGGAGAGAATACTCTTGAGCCCTAGTCTTGGGACCTGTGCTTACCTCCAGATCCAGGCGACATGATTCAACACCAGCCAAGAAATGACAATGGCCCCTGATTCTACAGCTATGAAATGCTCTTTCTTTTGAATGTTTTTGACAGTTTAATCTCCTGACTTGACTTTTCTGTTCCCACCCTCTCTCTGTCTCCCTCAGGTATCCCACTCACTGGTGCCAGAACCTTCTGTCACGCTTCTGGTCACAACTTTTACCATACAAAAACCTTTGGTGGCTCCCACTGCTTGTGGCTTAAAGCTTAATCCCCTTAGGTCAGCATTCAAGGTCCAGGAGAGATGAGTTTTACTAATCTTATAGCCATCGAGCTTGTAATGAAGCACTTCTCCAAAAAAACTGCAAGCAGCTGAGCAGCAAATAAATTCCAGTAAGGACCACCTTATAGTTCATTAAAAAACAAACAAAAAAAGCCAACACTGAGAACTTTGCTTTGTTATTTAAAGCTAAGTTAAAATGGATCACCTTGAGTGATATGACACAGTCAAGTCATAAATCACATTTTAACATTCCATTTACAACTCTTATTTATCCTACTTTTTGACTGGAAACTGGCCCTCCAAACAAGTTAAGCTTTGAGATTAGACTGGCAAATTTCCTTCATTTTCTATGGCAGTGCTTCCCCATTGATTTTTTGAGTCTGTGTTTGTTTTGTTTTTATGTTAAGAAAGGCTTGATGTCCCTTTTCTTAACAGGAGAAAATTACTTTAAAAGTCCAAATAGTTTCCTGTGTATAAATTAGGCTTCTAGGCTTGGTGAATTTGCAATCATTCGTTAAGGATTCATGATGATGCCTTTTGCCAAGTGACTTCTGAAAACTGGGGACAAACTGGATGATTCAGAACTGAAGAAAGAGCCATCTGCTTATTTATGTGTGAGATGTCTCTTACTCTCAAGCCTGGGACGCGGTAAAGTCTTTGATTGAGGGGAAGGAAACGCATCTCACTTCGCACCGCCCAGCAAACACCTCTGCACCTCCTTCTCTAACTCTTCCTTTCTAGGGAAAGGGCTTTAGGAAGAATGCCATCTCTTCCCCCTCCTTTTTGTGGGTTGACTTCAGCTGAAGCTCCAGTACTTGGACCACCTTATGTGAAGAGTCATCAGAAAAGACCCTGATGCTGGGAAGGATCCAGGGCAGGAGGAGAAAAGGTGCGGCAGATGAGGATGAGAGGTGCGAGGATGAGATGGTTGGATGGCATCACTGACTCAACGGATATGAGTTTGAGCAACCTCCAGGAGGTAGTGAAGGACAGGGAAGCCTGAAGTGCTATAGTCAATGGGGTCGCAAAGAGTCAGATAAGACTTAGCAACTGAGCAACACGCTTTTTTTTTTACTCTCTTATTCAGGGTTTTCTTAATATTCTCTAGTTCATCAGCAAGCTTAAACTTAAGAATTTTCTTAACCTGAACAAATGGCCTTTCAAAATGGCCTTACTTCCCTTCGTTTCAAATCGCCCCTTCTGTTTGCTTAATAAATATCTCTTTTGCCATCCGTTCTCCCATTGCAGATTATTAGTCTCCCTGTCCTATGTTCTTGCTTTGTGGTAATCACATAATCTCAGCCTTCCCTGAAAGAAATGAGTTCCTTAGGCAAATGAAAAGGCACTTTGAAGTTCTGTAATAATATAAGTCTAAAGATGTATTGTTCATCGCTTAGGACAAATTTGTCTTCAGAAACCATTCACAGGAACCTTGAGGATCCAGGCTATTGTTTTTCATAAGTAATAACTTGCACTACATTGGTCAGTTGGGCCTGTAGTTTTACTTGACAGATACATAAGAAGAATTCAAACTGCTTTGCTGATTAAGAAACTAACCCAAAACAATCTTGAATGCAGTCTTCCACATACCCTAGGCCTTTGGCACTTAGTAGTATCTTTATTTTAGCAACAATAATCTGAACAGGGGTTCCTATTTTTGTTAACAACTCTTAACCTATGTTTTTGTCCATTGTCACTTCAGTTTTTAGTATAATTGTTGAATGAGTGAATAACTAAAGAGCCACTATTATTTTTCTTTCTTAGATGGAGTGACTGAGGCCTAGAAAAAGTATGACTTTTTCACAGTTCCACATCAAGTCTTTGGACCTCTGGGTCTAACTCCTCTGATAAGGCCATGAAGGTAAGTGCACTTGCAAAGCCATTCTTGTCATCCGTGTACTCATGTAAGATATATTAGGATCAGTCTGTCTCAGAGAGAATTTTAAAATTGTGGATGAGTTACACAAAAATAAACTCAAAGTAGATTAAAGATCTAAATGTGAGACCAGAAACTATTAAACTCTTAGAAGAAAACAGAGGTAAAACACTTTCTGACATAAATCACAGCAAGATCCTCTATGACCCACCTCCCAAAGTAATGGAAAAACAAAACAAAACAAAAATAAACAAATGGGATCTAATTAAACTTAAAAACTTTTGCACAATGAAGGAAACTATAAGCAAGGTGAAAAGACAGCCTTCAGAATGGGAGAGAATAGCAAACAAAACAACTGACAAAGAATTTATCTCCAAAATATATAAGCAGCTCATGCAGCTCAATACCAGAAAAATCAATGACCCAATCAAAAAGTGGGCCAAAGAACTAAACAGACATTTCTCCAAAGAAGACATGCAGATGGCTAACAAATACATGAAACATTGCTCAACATCACTCATTATTAGAGAAATGCAAGTCAAAACCACAATGAGGTTTCATCTCACACTGGTCAGAATGGCTGCCATCAAAAAGTCTACAAACAGTAAATGCTAGAGAGGGTGTGGAGAAAGGGGAACCCTCTTATACTGCGGGTGGGAATGCAGACTGGTGTAGCCACTATGGAGAAGAATGTGAAGATTCCTTAAAAAACTGGAAATAGAACTGCCATATGATTCAGCAATTCCACTGCTGGGCATACACACCAAAGAAAGCAGAATTGAAAGAGACACATGTACCCCAATGTTCACTGTAGCACTGTTTACAATAGATAGGACATGGAAGCAAGCTAGATGTCCATCAGGTTACATGAATGTATCCATTCATTACATGAATGGATAAGGAAGTTGTGGTACATATACACAATGGAATACTACGCAGCTATAAAAAAAGAACACGTTTGAGTCAGTTCTAAAGAGGTAGATGAAACTGAAGCCTATTATACAGAGTGAAGTAAGTCAGAAAGGGAAATACCAATACAGTATATTAATGCATATATATGGAATTTATAAAGACATTAACAATGACCCTATATGCAAGACAGCAAAAGAGACGCAAATGTAAAGAACGGAATTTTGGACTATGTGGGAGAAGACGAGGGTGGGATGATTTGAGGGAATAGCATTGAAACATGTATATTACCATATTTAAAATAGATGGCCAGTGCAGGTTCAGTGCGTGAAGCAGGGTACTCAAAGTCGGTGTTCTGGGAGAACCCAGAGGGATTTGGTGGGGAGGGAGGCGGGAGGGGGGTTCAGGATGGGGGGACACATGTGCACCTGTGGCTAATTCATGTTGATGTTTGGCAAAACCCATCACCATATTGTAAAGTAATTATCCTCCAATTAAAATAAATAAATTAATTAAGAAAATTGTGGATGAGTGGTACGAATGGGGAGGATTTTGGTGTCAGGTAGCACAGATCTGAATCTGGCTCTGAGACCTTGGGCATGTCATTTAAATTTGATAATTCTCATATGAAGAATTGGGATAAATAGACCTACTCCTTGGATTAAATGAATACATGTGAGGTGTTGTGACTATTATCAGAAGTATTATCATGTAGAATAATATGAAGTATTATCATGTAAGTATCCCTGACTTCAGTAACTTGCCATATTGGAATCACGAGTGTGAAGAGATGACATCACAAAGCTCAACTGACAGGTTCTCCCCAGATACCTAGGATTACTGTGTTAGCCCCATAATATTTATTTACAGCCGGTTTGGAATAGACTTGGGGGCAGAAAAGAAGAACACAGCTAGTCACTAAGACAGAACTGAAATGGAGAAGTCTTGTTTCTGTTTGACAGTTAAGTTCCATGGTGGCATGTTTTAGTTGTCTATATCAGGAACTTATTTCTGGCACAACAGTCTATACTCATTCAGATATTTTCTTCCTCTATGTTCTGATGCTGGAATAGAAAGTGTGTCAAAAGTCTGTGTGACTAGGAAAGAACTTAAGATGAATCCCAGACCGTCTGTTGCAGTTTATGCCTGCTTGGAACTAGGATAACTAGCCTGCTCAAGGGGAGAATAAAAACAGTTAAATGATTGTTTGACCTCTGGCAGAGGTAACAATGGTGTCTGATTTTTTTTTTTTTAACTTTTTGAGAGTTGATTCCTTTGGCATTTTTGTGAATGAGTCATAGTCACCCCATGAATGTTTTCTGTGTTGAGACTGACTAATGAATACAGTTTCAGATGTCAGGGTCCACACATGAAGATTTCTGACAAGGATAAACCAGACCCGGTTCTCTCAGAGTGAGGTCAGATCATGGCACCCTCTGAGAAGTGGAATAAATAGAATGTGCACAAAATACAAGAGATTTGCCCCTCAGAGAAATAACCCAACCACTAGGGTGGCTTATTCATGACTGGTGGTTAAACTGGGGCATCTATCAGAACTCCCTAAAGGAGACTAGAATGTAACTAAATGTGACAAGCTATGAGTTAAGCAGTTATAACATGTATGAAAGAATATCCTAACAGAAGATGAGGGATGCACAGAAGCTAAAGTCTACCTTCTACTGAAATAATTTTCCAAAGTTTCTCTAACACTAGGGAAAGGGGAAACAAGATCCTCCACTTGGAGGGCCCAATGTTCCAGTAATCTGAAACGTGTTCTTGGTGGAATTTGGAAGAATTCTCTAGTCCCTGTTTCAGCATGGATGGTAGATTTCCTGAGCCTGCTTCTCCAACTCCACTGATCCTGATCTTGTGCTCTCAAGTCATCTTCAATCACTCGCTCAGTTTTCTTACTATCCTAATACCAGGATGGAAATGACCTGGGCAACACTCGAAAGCATCCTACATTAGAGTGACTGTATTGGCATCTAGTCATCAGATCAGTCTCTTGGGATTTGGGGAGCATGGCTTGACTCTGCAGAGCTGGAAGACTTTTGATAGAACTGATAAAATCAAGTTTCTAAACCTAATAAGCCTGGTCAGATGATGAGACAATCATGAGCGTATGAAGCCCTGCCTGAGAAGCCGGTTGTTAAATTTCTTTACCAATTCTCTTTTCAGTGCAATTTTTACTGAAACACCACCTGTTTTTGTT